CTTTTTCTATCTTTATCAGCACAAGCTAAAACTAGCTGTTGATATTTTTGCAATTTGAGGGGGACCATTCAACACTAGTATAGTGGAACCCTAAATGAATTTTACGTACAAGCAAAAGTCAACCAGGGACTCATTTACAAGATTGATAATATGAGCTTATATCTAATATTTTGAAATAGTTGACTAAATTTTTTCATCTATTTTGGTTTTTTGTTTGGTTAATTGTGTTACAAATCAGTTAATATGCGACCGGTCCGTTTTTAAACAGTTTAATAATATATTAATTGGTTTTCATCTATTTTCGTTTTTTGAATTTTAAATTAAAACATTGCAAACTTAAGATTGAAATCAATCTCTATTTAACATGTTGGCTTTCAAATTTTAATTAGTATTCAAAGCGAGAGGAATAAGGAATTTTTTTATTAGCCACATGACTTTCAAAATCCGGATATTATTCAACTTTCATTCCTCAACTTGAAGAGCTCAGTTAGAATTAGAAACAACATTTTTTCAGATGATAATCATTAATGAATGGGACCTGAGCCTGTGGTGATGGTGGTGGTTTCTTCTTCTTGTCATCTTTGTTTGTTTTATTTTTTTGTCAAGAATCATAATGAAAATAAAATGGCTAAATTATTATCGCTTCAAGTCAGCGCCTTTGTAATCCACACGACAAATCGTGTTCTGCGATATTAGTCGGACTTTTTTCTGACGGTCTTGTTTCAATTTTGGAATCAAATTAAGTACAGTTGCAGATAAGATTGGAGTCATGATTTTTAATTTTTATTTTTTCAAAACCCCCACTAAAGCTTATATGGTCGTGCTTATGAAAGTGAAATACACTGTTCATCCGAAAAGGACCATAACATTTCTTTGTTCCTTTTTAGTTTTTTGTTTCTTTTTCCTCCTCCATTTACATGTTGTAGTCTTCATCTAAGTGATCGTATAAAATCTAACAAAGAAACATTGTTCTAAAAGTCGCTAGGCGCCCGCTAGACGCTCGACCAGCGCCTAGCACCTAGAGCCTAGTCGGAGCCCAGAAATTTATATTAAATATTTTATTTTTTATTTATTTTACTACCTACAAAATAAAACTATCTCAACTTATAATAAATTCACACACCAAAGTTCAAATAATAATATTAATATATATTAAAAAAATATGAAAACAAAATAATGTAATTAGTAGAAAATTGGCGCCGATCCCACCTAGAAGCGCCTAGGTCCGCCTATGCCCACCTAGACGCCGCCTACCGCCTGGCCGGGGGCCCGCCCAGAAGCGCCTAGGCCCGCCTAGGCGCCTGGCCGATTTTTTCTGACGATTTGTGCAAATCGGATGCGCCCGAGCACCGCTTAGCACCTAGGCCGCCGCCTAGGCCGATTTTTAGAACAGTGCAAAGAAATAACCATTTTCTCCGCTTCGAAGATGGGCTAAAATTTTTCCCACCGCCAATAAATAAATTAACTTTTTGACTCCAATAAGAAACGAATGCAATACACTATGCGACAGTTAGGTAAATATAATTGATAAAGTGCGATATAATTATGCGATAACTATTCGGCAGACAAAGGAAAGTAACTTATAAAGAGTAAGATATTTATGCGATAAACATGCAAAGAAAATCGAGCAAGTGCGAAATAATTATGAGATAACATATGCGACAGACATGCAAATTAAGATAATCGAGCAAGTACGAAATAATTATACGATGAACTATGTTACATGGTCGAATATAATTGATAAAGTGAGAAATATTTATGTGATAAACTATACGACAAACGTGCTATGTTAATTAAAAAGTGCAAAACAATTATGCCATATAATATGCTACAGACAGACGAAGTTAATTGAGCAAGTGCGAATTACTTATGCTATAAACTATGCGACTGAAAGGCGGAGCTAATCGAGCAAGTGCCACCTCATTATGCGATAAGTTAGGAAAAAGATAAACGAAATGATAATCGAGCGAGTACGATCTCATTATACGATAAGCTAGGCGAAACACAAGCAAAATTGATTGAGCAAGTGCGATCTCATTATGCGATAAACTAGGCGAAAGACATGCGATGTGATAATCGAGCAAGTGCGGTTTTATTATGCAATAAACAAGGCGAAAGACAGGTGGAGTTAATTGTGCAAGTGCTAAATAATTATACGATAAACTATGCGACTGGTAGTCAACGATAATTGAGCAAGTGCAAACTCATTGTATGGTAACATATTCAATAGATATGTGATGTTAATTGAAGAAGTGTGTGAAAATTATACGATAACTATGCAATATATTGACGACAAATATGCAATTGTGTGGAGAGTTCAGTCACATTTTAGTTGGGGATTAGCTTCTTGCACCTGTTTTTATAATTTTCCAGCTTGTCTTCAATTATAAACTTTTCATGCAAGAACGAGAGCGTGTTTCGGCAAAAAAAGGTAGGTTTTTATGACAGTTTGTTGCAGAACTGTAGACGTTCGTGGGACCCCTTATAATTTCCCAATTTAAATAGATCATTAAGTGTCACCTTCCAGATTTTGTGCTTTTATCTGAAAAAAATGTGGGTGTATGGTAACCCTGTGGGGGGAAGAAAAGAGGGTTGTTTCTTTGCTGGTCTAGGAGTATATGCATTTTGGAAGTAAATGTTCTGTTTTTATATAGAAGTTAAATTTTAGGTTAGGGGTAGTGATGTGGTTCTATTTTTTTCAATGCCAGTATAGACCCTATATTTAGCCAATCTCAATGGGACATGTTTGTGAGATGTAGCTTGAGCTGGGGAGACTTGTGGTTTTTAGGAGATGATTTTAATGATATCCTGGTTGACCATGAGAAGAGAGGGGGTAGAGTGAGAGATAAGTCCAGTTTTCTCACTTTTAGGGCCATTGCGAGGGATACGGGTGATATGGAATAACCGTACCAGATCGACCAGACCGGTGAGACAACCGAACTGAATTGGATGGATCATCAGGTCGAACGGAGGATGGAGATTCCTTGTCGAAAGACCCTCAAGTCAAAGAAGACACCGGTGACGCAAAGAACAACAACATGGCGAATGGAGGCCCTCAAAAGGTTAGGGGAAGCTCGATTCGAAAGATCACAATGACCTTAATAATGAGAAATAAGACACTTTGTTGTCTCGCTCGTTTTCCCTATGAATAAGTCCTAATCGTTTTACTAATTATTAGTTAATTATTTGAAGTTTCATCAATAGGTTTTAAATTACATGAAAATAAATACTATAAACGCTCGATATTAAAATCATTTTTTCCTTTTAATCTATATCTATATACATAAAAGTTTTTATTATCTGAAATAGAAATAAAAATCCCTCTTAAAATTTTTAAAATTACTAAACTTAATAATCTTTTTTGAAATTTTTCAAACAATACTGCCACTAGAAATTAATTAATTAATTTATAGTATAAAGTTGTCAAAATTAATAAATCTAATTTTAGTATAAAGTGGGCTATTTTATTTGATGTATTTGATTGTCTTTTTTATATTTGGTAGGAAATGTGTTGTAATTAATAAATATCCGAATTTATGATATAAAGTGGATGATTTTATTTTGGTATGAAATGTACGAAATTAAATAGTATGAATTTTATTTTTTATGTATAGAAATATATTTAGAAATCTTAAAAATAAAATAGGTGGTATGAATTTTATTAGGTATGTGTAGAAAGTCGAATTTTAAGTTGATTTGTTATACAATTCTATAAATTAACAGTATAAAAAAATAAAAAATATGGAAAGAAAGAGAAATAATCATAGAATAAAAAATCAAAATAAGGTAAAGTATATAAATAAATACGTAAATATTTACATACATTTTTATTTATGTTAGTTAAGATTTTAACTAAAGATGACAAAAATAATATTTTTCAAGTAAATTTTACACGCATAAAAAACTTTTATTTTCAATATATATGTGTGTGTTTACATTTAGTTCGTCTGCTCATGTACTTCCTTTAAAATGTATGGAATCATGTTGTAGTCAAATCAAATTTATAAATTAAAAATTTTAAATGACACTTATTTTGTAATGAATATAATATAATTTATTCTCAGTTACGTGCACCTTATGGGTTGAGTATTAATTTTAAATAGACACGTTTTATGTAAATTTACGAAATTTAAGTTTAATATAACATTGTCAATTAATTAATATAAGATTGTATTACACGTTGATTCCATATTTTTAATTTATAAATATTATTTAATGAGAATTTTTAATTTATAAATATTAATAAATATCTCTTACCCGTGCATCGCACGTGATTCGTACTAGTTATTAATAATAAATACTACAAACTTAAATTGAGTTATAAATAAATAAATAGGAAACTTTCATTTAATTTATTTTGCTCGTCTAACAAAAAAATTTCGAAATANCTCATGTCCATTCTAATTTCTTTCTTTGTTTTCCTAAAGAAGAAATATACAGCTTCGGATCCTTTATTGGTGCACTTAATCATACATAAAAAGGATAAGGAATGCGAAAGGTTGTGTTAACAATGCTTTTTTTGAATAAGACCGATAGGTCAATGCGTAAAAGCGATTGGCATAATTTCCTTTTCCTCAAAATTCTAAATTAGGAGTTAACATAATACAATTAATTGATCTATTATCTATTTCATCTACCGTTACATTTTTTTCTTCTCTTGGTAGATTTTCTATGTGACCTCTGTAACTTTTTCACGATGTGTTTAAGGAAATTGGTTAGATCAGTTGATTCACGTAATTTATCATTTTTTAATTACTTTAATTTATTTATATATTTTATGGTTTGAGTAAATTAAAGAACACACGAAGATGCGAATTTCATTCATGAAACATTAATATGATTTATAATAAAGCTACTAATAATATGAAATAACAGATGTGCATGCTTCCAAAAGCTCATGTTAGAATTATCAATAGTGCCAAAAATAACCATTGCCTATATATAGTTCGACCGGAAATTAATTTGACATGCTAGTTGAACTTTATTTTTTTTTTTTCAAGAANTCCTACACCCTAAATTTTCCCATTGCCCTTAGCAATAAGGCGAGTGCATAAGATTTGCCATAGCTGCTTGCAACCAACAATCCTCCTCGTATTTCATCTGCCAGTAACACCAACAATAAATAAATAAATATATAGATAAACAATAAAGTAAAAGAAATAATTCATAATCAATAAATTTATTCTATCTCCACATAAGTGGAACAATTGTATATGTGCATAAGCATGAGTTAATAGCCAACAATATGATTTATTTTGAGTCCTTTATTCCGTTCATAATTGTGCGTGTGGTACTTAAAGTGTACCGAAACATCAGACAAGATAAAGAAGGGGAATAAAAACATAGTGGCCTGAACCAAGTTGACTGCCAAGAATTAAAAGTTTTACGGACACATTTAATTAATTACACCAAAATTAAGTACCTGCAAATAATTCTCGAAAGATAAATTATTTTGGCTTGTGGCCATCACAAGTTCATCTTCTGAAGGTTGATCATTATTCTTGGCAAACCGCCCACGGACCCGAACACGCTTGTCCGCTAAAGTTTTGCGACATGCGTACTACACGTACAAATTCATATAATTGTTAATATAAAAACAAAACAAAAATTAAATAATGGTTTGATTTTGTTCATATTTATAATTATATATGCATATATATGTACCTTGATTGTCTTATTAAAATTCCTTTGATTTTTTTTCTTGAGGTATCTGAGAATTCTGTCCTTCTTTTCTTCAGCCGAGTACCTTCCAACCTTCACTTCAGTCTCTTCTGCTTTAGTTATAATTGGATTCCCGTGTAAGGACTGAGGAAAAATAAAAAATAAATAATAAAAAATTGGACGGCCATAATTTAAGCGTGACATTAAATTTTATGTATATTGTACCATTGCGTTTTGATTTAAAACATATATGTCCTCGTAAATATATATTTGAAGTAAATTTAAGTCAAATATGTATTTTTTCAAGTTTTATATAACTTGAATGTCATGAGACCTTAAGATTATGAAAATCAATTACATAAATTTCTAATTATTAATATATCATAGAAAAAATTGTTTAGATACTAAGGCCAAAGTGTAATAAGTAGTACTAATAATAATAATAATAATTTACCCAATTCTGAGCAGGTATGAGTTTGTGATGAATATCATTGTAAGCTGGCCAAAGTCTTGGCACCAATCCAATGCAATCTTCACCAGGCTCAAACACTTGATGACCAAATTGTTGGTAATTATCAAAATTAGAAAAGCCAGCTGTCTCGCTTTCCAACATTTGCGGAACTTCTAGCATGCTGTCTGAGTTAGCTCCAACTCCAAGAAGCTGCTGATCTGGAAATGATGCCACTGAAACAGGAGAGCTTATGTCATAGCTCATCAATGGAGCCATGTAATTAATTGCTCCATTATTACAATTTGCATTCATAATTATGTCTGATGAGGTTTCTTCACTTGTTGGGAAGCTGCATAAATCTGTTGACAAGGAAGAATAATCTGAGGAGTAATACTGGTGAGGAATTGAAGCATCCATTGACTATTGATTAAGATTTTTTTTATATTATTATTATTTTTCTTTTTCTCTTTCTTTTGAGTGGTGGGATGTGAAGAAACTTTATTGGTACTGAGAAGTATTTATAGCATCAAGAATTTGATTAATTTGGGGCGGCCCTCGTGTGTTTGTGTCTAGTCTTGTATTTGGTTCTGTTTTTCATGTTAATGATATATGGAATGTTTTAATTGTACGAGGATTATGTATACTTTAAGGATGTGTGAGGATTAATTGGTTTTGGCTCAATTTAAATACTTTTAATTAAAAGTAATCAAAATGGCCTTGTCGGCGTATCTCCGGCCAAGTTCGTGGCCGCTTTTTTGTCGATCCGCCGTCTCATTGTGTCGGTCAGATGTCGGCCGCTTAATCACTCTTTCGTTAGTTCGTTTTTCAGGTTCACTGCTCCCAACTGTTCTCGAGAGGATGGGACTGTCCTTTTCTAGGAGCTCGCGTTTGAGTTCATTCGGTGCAGCTCTTCGTGCCAGACCTCTTGGGCCCTCTTCTTCCCTCATGACTGACGACTTCGGGAGTGCAGTCCTGGACTGAGGTTTGTCTTCTAGCCAGTTCTTTCTAGCTGATGTTTCTGTTGGAGTTTTTAGTTCTAGGATCATTCTCTGTAGCTCATTTAGTTTCGGTCGTGGGATTTCTTATTACGATGTTTGGTTTTTGTGTGGGGTTGTATGTCTACTGCAGGTTGCTCGAGTGGTTTAGGGGAGGAAGTACTCTATCGCTAGTTAAATGTGTGTTTCGTTAAGTAGTGTGTTAGTCTCTACTGGCTGGAGTTAGATATTCTCCGCTTGTCGGAGTAAGTAGCCTCCCCTTGTGGAAGTTTCTAGTCTTGTATTTAAATTAGGTGTCCAACAATTTGGTTTCCAGTGCATCTTGCCGCTACCGAATGCTTAGATCCCTCTTCGGTGTTTTAATTTAGTTTAGGGCACTTCTTTTAGTAGTCCTCCCTGATTCCATCTTTTTGTTGTTTTGTTAGGCTATTTAGCCTCCACGCTTCATCTTGAAATTCAACATTTCAAGAAATACAATCTGTCGTTTCGAAAAAAAATAATAAATTCATTTTAATATCTATTGCTTATATAATTCTCATAATTAAAGATAGTAGCAATAATAATAATAATAATAATAATAATAATAATAATAATAATAATAATAATAATAATAATAATAATACAGTACGTTAATCATGATTAATGTGTGAAATGACTTCTTTACTTGAAGAAAACAGTGAGATAGAGGGAGAAAGACACATATAGCAACCATGACATTGTGGGCTTCATGTGCTCAAGTTATACGCGCTTTGATTGGCATGAAGATCTGACCTACTGCGTAGGCTGGGAATATTATTGATAGCAAAGTTAAAAATATATATATATACACACACGTGACCACTTGTACATTTCATCTCAGCATTAGAGCATCTTCAATCATAAACCTCTATAAACTTTCTTTTACACTCTCCAACATGACACATTATCTAAAACTTTATTCTTACTTCTACCGTCATAAACCTCTAATAACAATAAACCTCATAAACCTCTCTTTTGTGGACTCTACATGTTTCCTACTTACTTTTAATTAATATTATACTTTTATATTTTTATTAATATATTAAAACTATTACTCCACCTTTTATTATACTCTTTTTTTTTTTTACAATATTGCACACCACTAACTTTTTTTTAGAATACAATGAATATTTAACAGCTTTTCTTTTCCTTATACACTACAATTAAAATTGATTACAAAAATGTAAAAAAAAAAATCATAAAGAAAGTCCAAATAATGTGCCAATAAATTGATTAAAAAAGGAGAAAAAAAATAAGAAAAAACAAATATGTCAGTTGGACGGTATTTTAATTAAAGAAACAAAAATAAAATAAAAATATATAAATAAATGTCACGAAAAGAAAAAAGAAAACACAAACAAATGTCATGGCAGTTGGGTTGCAGACGTGGGGCCACCCTCTTCACAACATATTTGGGTCGTGGGCAGCAGATTTCAGTTTATTTTACATTTGTGTGCAAGCAACGCGCCATTATTTAACTGTTCAATTTATTTTACAATGTTTTTTTATTAAGGTTTATGATAGGTTTGAATTTGCAAACCTGGTTTAAAAATTTTATTTTGTTTTGATTCCTCTTTGTTAATTATAGTTAATTTAAAAATATGGTTGAACTAGATTTGAGTGAAATTTTGAGTTTGTAAAGTTGATTTAATATAAAAGTGAGAGTGATATAAAATGATAGGTAGTTAAAATTATGTGAGTAAATAAATAGTGAATTGAAGTTGATGTGATGTGTAACGACAACCGATTGATATTAAATAATTATGTTGATAATATTTAGGATAGTGAAACTGAGTTAAATTTGAGTGTTAAGTGATTTTTTTTTTAATTGGATTGATATCCAATCACACTCTAATTAATTTTGGATGCAAGAGGAAGATATAACGGGTTAATTGCACCAAATTCCCCAATATTTATTAAGAAAATGTGCATTTTATTGTTGTATTTAAAAAATGCGGATGCATGGAGATAATTATTTATTTATTTCTCTAATTTTAAAATAATGTATAGTTTGTATGAAAATGTACAGTTTGTATGAAAAATTAGATAACATGCTAAATATTTATTAAGTTTTTAAAAATAATACTTTTAAATTTTTAAATACTTATCAAATAAGTAATAAATCAACAAATTTTACCGTATTTTCAAACTTTTCATTACACATATAATCATATTTTTATTATTTTAAAATTTATGACTGATTTACGATAGTTTAATTAATTTGTAATTATGCATGATAAATTTGACAAAATTATAGGTATATTTCAATTTCGATATACCATAAGAATTATCAAATGCTCGATTTATTTTAAAGCTTTAAATTTAATATAAAATACAAAATTTTTAAATAAAGTAATATTATTTAGCAGAAAAATTTTAATATATTTTATTTATAAACTTTGTTCACATTACCAATATATAGATGTGGTGGGGTTGCGCTATGTATAATAAAGTACTTCAATCAACAAGTGGAATTTCTTTAATTAAATGTGAGTATAACAAATATTTAAAGATTTTCCTTAAACTGATTAACTACAAGAACTGATCATAATGACCCATCAAAGTTGTGCAATTTGACATCTATTCTAGTAGTTGTAAACAATTTCGTGTTAAACCATTATGGTCAAAGCAAGAATAGAGGAGCAAAACCACCAAAAAGAAGATTCTATTGGTTGTTGATTTGATATTATGTTTATCCGTTTTAGTCCAAAACCTTTATTACTAGAATTATTATAATTTTATAATAATTTATTTATTGAGGAAAATGAAAGATAAATTCCGAATGCTGTCAGGGAATAGCGATGTCTACTTTTGATACAATATGTCTATTCTCCGCAAAAAGAACGCCTCAAAACTTGTTCTTGTAAAAGAGAATCTAACACCTTCAGACAATATAAATATTAGACGTTCAGAACATTTATAAATTAAGAGTAGATTGTGCTAGAACTTTAATTATTTGTATAAAAATTACGTAACTATAACTAATTTCAATATTTTATATATTTTAATTCATTTTTAACTTAAAGTTCATTTTTCATTCACTCATAGATGATTTTGAATTTTTTTTTATATTTTTCTATCTTTGAAAAATATCATCATAAAATCGATAAAAAGACTAATTTTTCTTTCATGTAATTAGGTTTAATATGCAAGATTGTATTGTTAATTTATTTCTTTCTGCTATTCCCCCGACCACCAAGGTATTCTCTCCCCGGCCAATCACGACTCACGAGCTACAACTACATAAATTGGCATATGACATGAAATAAAGCGCTTTAGAATTCGTAAATTCCAATCTTCAAATTCAAGTGATGACACGAGTGCAGGAAGTAGGGATATATAGAGCCATGAATTCTTATTTTAACGGAATCGATTTACTATTTAACCATTCACAGAAGACTGATTTAATTACTTTTACAGAAAAAAAAAAAAATTCCAAATAAATAAAAACATAACTTATCACTATATATAATAAAATGATCATATTCCTATAAAAAAATTAATTAATGATGACCATATTGTGTAACAGGAAATTCTAATAGAAAAAAGACTGTTGGAAAATTACATAAATAGTGCTAAAATATTCCAACAAAATCTTTGGTCGGGATTTCGGTTCATGACTATTTTCTGGTAACGTATAATTCTTTTTAAGTGATGTAGAATATAAACAAGGCCAGAAGTACATCGGATATAAATAAATAAATATATATATATATATATACACTTCCTAATGGCTTTATCATGCACAAGAAAATGTGACAGGAAATACGATTCCAAGGAAATTGCCGAACAAAAATCCACAAAGAAACACACAAAATCTGGAATGGTTGATCAATGGTAATGCTGAGTTTCTTTTTAGTCTGTCTGTTTGAATGTGGGAACAGGACCATGTTCCTGCATGTTGCCTGGAGATTCATGTTTAGCCCACCTTTGATTTTTGAGGCACACATATTGCTTTTGCTACACAATTTGGACTTCTTTTTCCCTGAAATACAAAGATTTCTCTACTATTTTCTTAAATATCTACAATTTAAGAAGCGGTGGAGAATATCTTTGGTTTTATTAAAAAAATAAAAAAATTATCTCTCTCCGAAAAAGTGTTACCAAATATTTTTATCCGGCTATTACAAAGTGAATATAGGTTTTTGAAGCTTACATTATATTAAAAGTGTTCCTACGATGGTGAAAAACGAAGATTATTGTCGCAAACGCTTGAACGGTTTCTGGAATCAATCGTGCCCATTAATTCATAATTATAAAGGACAGTGATTTTTTCCTACTGAATTATACCAGCATGAGGTCCTCCTTTAGTTTAATTTTTCTACATGCATAAGAAGAAGTTTTCAACTTACAGATTCGAAGAAAGGATAAGAAGAACAAACAAAAGAAATCAAATCAGCTTTGCGGCAGACCACTTCAAAAAAGCCCATGCAAAGCATTTACCCAATCCAACTACAGCCCAGAATATAATTTGTGTTAACTTTTCATAAATCTAATGCTAAACTTTCACTATTTCAAACTCGGTCAAGAAATCAGTCTCACTAGTGATGTTCAATTAAAATCTCAAAATCCCTTAAGAAAGGCATTGCCAATTCATCAGTAATCTTCTTCCAGTAAACCCCTTAAGAAAGGCATCAATTGCTAGCAATAAAGCATCCAACAAAACAACCCTTAAGAAAAGTGTAACACAAACGACGACACTACAACAAATGTCACTATTTACATATGTACCATACATTAGTGCCATATAAAGTCCTAACAAAGTTCTTGCACAAATTTTGAATAATTTTTTAAAGGAATTTCTAAAATTAACCATTTTTTTTAAGAAAATATCAATCAACAGTGTTCACATATCCATGTTTAAAGGTCAAATAATGAGGCGTACACTGAGTCAGTCTACAGGAAACTTTAGAACCTAGAGACTGAAGCACAAACTTCACTTGTAATGCATTTCCTAGTTCATGTTGCGGTTTAGCAACCCCTGAAATGATATGTAGAGGTCTTTATTATCCATCCCGAAAATCTCTTCAGCTTTTCTCAAAGTCTCCTGAAAGTATGAAAGCTAATGAATAAGCAAGACAAAAATCAAAAGAATAATTAAATAAATCAACGCTGTGTAATTAGCTTAGAATATTGTAGGGATTTCTACTCATTCTCACCTCACGAGACTGCCTTTGTGCATTTAGTTCCTTGATATTCGCCAGGAATGAGCTGAATTGCTCGAGTGATAAACGACTCCTGCATTTAACAATTTTTTTTTAAAAAAAATAAGTATGTCAAAGCATAAGGCGAAGAAACAATTGAAATATTTAGTCAAACTAACATAAGTACAGAAAATATCAAACTAAACCTGGCTTGACGAAAAAATTCCTTTCCATCAATTCGAGGAGTGCGGCCTGAAAATAGTCCATGGAAATTTTGAAAAGTCAAGAACTAATGGTACGTATGAGGAATCACACTCAATACACTTTGATATCTAATATATTATCAAGAACATGATAGTATCTCAATCTAGGTACAAAATAAAATGAAAATCTTTCATAACTACAAAAATCACCATTTTCGTTGAGTCTTAAGAGGAAAAATATTATCTTTTAGAATTTCAAATGACCCCTCGACGCAACTCTTAAGAAAGAGCATTCTGTGAAATAACAAGCTTCAGAAGGGAGTCTTTCGCTATTTTTCACTTCTCAAAAATAACTATTATTTCTTTCTCCTCTAAATCTAAACTAAGCCTTAAGTGCACAATCTTGTAATTTATTGAAAATCCGTAACATATATTAACAAACCTGGCGGCAGGCGCCCTCGAGGAGGAGAGCTGGCGGCAGACGACTGCTGACTGGACGGATACCACGATGAGAGAGAGGCTTGCCCCTCATACACCTTTGTGGGGGTAGTGGCCCCCGATGCCCTCTGTGGTGAGCTGGCAGCCGTATACCTTCTTGGAGACACACTTGTCGAGGCCACTTTTGGGGTCCCGTTGGGAGTGAGGCGAGGACTTATGTAAGGTGTGATTGAAAATTTCTGCGCCGCCTGTTTTGAGACTGGACAAAAAGAAAACTAAATCAAATTCAAATTTATGGTAACTTTTTTAACTGCAGATCAAACGGAAATCCAATATATTCAGTTCGATTTCTCATGTATAGTGTACGGTTCGTTTTTGTTGGTATTTCTTTTGAGCAGGCTAGTTAGGCTCCATTTGTATAAACAGTTCAACTGTGCGTTATATATCTCTCAAAAATACCTTCGTCAGTTAAGGTTGTGCTATCGATGGACCCGCTGTACGAGTGATATTTTCTGTAGCCGTTCGAGTCATCTGAATCATAATTAAAAGTAAGGTTTTTCCGAGCATAGGTTTAGGAAACGAAATTGCAAGGGTAGAGTCAGAATTTTTGGATTACCACTAGTAGAATATGCCTTAGGGACTGTTTGGTCATAAGTGCCAATATCAACCGTTTCCGTCTGCTGGGGCAGTAAAAAATTCAAAATGTTCAGTCTTGTGATCAGAGCATATTGTATGACACATAGAAACAGAACGATAAAGTTGGCAGTGAGAAACAAATATAATTATAAGAAGAAGAAAGTTAGCACATGAGATGTACCGGTGAATTTTCTTCATTCAAAGACTGCATCAATTGCCTCTTAAATGTCTCAAGCTGTCGAAAGAACACACATTAGATATTGCCGCAAGTACAACACATGGAAACACAACGTTTGAGTTAATCATTACAAAATAACGAGAGAGAGCATTGCAGAGAATCGGCCAAGTTATCTATTGTCCTGCTCTAATAATTGCAGGTGTAGAAAATATCGGAAATGGAACAAGTCAAACATATGCACCCAACTTCAATTTGCCAATGTCACAAAACCACAACTCCAAGAAACTTAGGGTGTGATTGGATACCAATCACATCCAAGAAAATCCAATCACAACTCAAATTTAACTCAACCTTAACCTAACTCTCACTATCATCAATATTATCAATATAGTTAAATAATATCAATCAATCATCCTTACACATCTCATTAACTTTAATTAACTATTCATCCACTCACATAATTTAAACTACCTATCACTCCCTTTCCCCTACTTTTACATCAAATCAACTTTAATCATTTTGTTTCAAATATTATTTTCATACAAACTCAAATTCCCACTCAAACCTAACCGGACAACTTTTTCAAAATTAACTATGGTTAACCAAAAAAAAAAACAAACAACCAAAACTCAATCAAATCTATATCCAGTCAACCTCTTAAGAACTGGGCATGTAAATAAACAAAAGATATTAACAGAAGTTCATCGTTTTCAACTAGCAAAGTAGACATGAATCCACACAGATTCTGAAGTTACTAAATAATTTTTAGGGCAACTTCGCATTTGCAGGGTGGGAAAGGGCACAACAAATATTATAGTCCTAAAGAAATCAGAAGTATTAATTTATTATTAAAAATGTACCTTAAGCTGCATAAAAGCATAATGCCAGTTTTCCAACAACTTAAATTACTTGGATGTTTATACCTACACTTTTTTCTTCCAATCATGTTTCTCAAGACCAATGTAGCATTCATTATGAGATGTAAAATAGATGCAGAGAGCACAAACAGCAACATTGTAACTATAAATTTGAACATATACAAATGCACTAATAGCAACATAAATTATAGTTTTCCATAAACAAACGAGACTAAAAAGGAAGACTTTTCAGCATTTATGCTTCACCCCAATTTTGAAACCTAATTCTTCTAAAAACATAACTAAAGCAAAAACACAAGAGATAAATAATCAACCTTGGCCAAATCACGACTGAGCTTCTTTGCAGTGGAAGCTAAAGAATCCCTCTCCGTCAATAGCTTCATCTGCAATTCAATTTTGTCAGAAACCTTAATTCATCCACTTTACAGATACTCCTGAAAAACCAAATAATAAGAATTAAAGAAGTTCATGGAATTCATAGATTACATTATCCTCGCGAGTAAGTTTCAATCGCAGCTCCGCGTCTTGGTAGGCGCCCTCAAGCTGGGAGACCTTGTCCTCGAGCTCCTCAATGAGTCGGTCTTTCTCGCTGAGCTTCTGGCGGAGCCTCGCCGCCTCCGTCTCGAGTTTCGAAACCCGCGACGCGATTGCCATGGAAGTAATCTTGCGGGCCAGATCCAGCTGGTCGTACGGGTCCGTGGGTATGACCGCAAGAACCTCGTCGGGTAGGTTGAAGTCCGGCCCGACCCGATTTCCATCGCCGCCACCATGAGCCATCTCCCGCCGGGGACCGAGCCTTGATTTTTCGAGAGATACAGAGAAGACGAGGTTAAGGTATAGACTTCGTTTGACGCGGCCGGAGGATTCTATGTGTGTACGAATTATAATTTTGAAAAAAATATTGTTTAGTTTTTGTTATTATTTGTAAGGTGTTAGGTGGAGTAATAAGACAGATGTGAAATGTCAAAACACATTTGGTGAGGCATTACGTGGAATGCGGTGGCTTTGTGCGTTTTTCAAATTTTTGAAAGTGCTGTAAACGAATCCAACTAAATTGGGTTTTGGCTATTTGAGCTTGTGGCTTTCGTTCGAATAGTGTTCGTGTTCGTTCGTTTATTTTTCGAGCAAAAAATCATGTTTAAGTTCGTTCGTTAATTGTTTGTCAAAGTTCGAATTCGTTCGTGTTTAAATAATTTAATACATAAACTTTTTAATTATATTTGATTAACTCGAAATTTGTTCGTTTGAACTCGAAAATAAAAGAATAAAATAATATTTTTATAATTTAGATTTTTTATTAAATATATTATATAAATATATGAAAAATAATATAAAATTATATTAAACTAATATTCACGAACATAATCGAACGTTTCGTTTGATTATTAAACGAGACTAATTTTCTATTCGAAGTCAGCTCGATTAATAAATGAACGAGCTTTTTTCGAATACGAACAAGCTTTTGTTCGCGAACATACGGTTCGTTTACAACTCTAGTTGGGGTTCTCTCTTTCTCCCACACAATTTATTACATTTCTTACTTCTTTTATTTTCAACGATAAACAAAGAAACTTATATTACAACAAAGAACAAATGCAAGGTTCAACTACACAAGCATCTAACTATGTACAAATACAACTGGCTACTCCAACATGGAACAACTAAAAACAGAAAATCACATATAATTCCCTAGCTATTTTGGCTAACAAATCACTACTAGAACGAATACAATAATCTAAAAAAAATTACAACAATCAAACAACGAGAACATGACACAAATATCCTCGGCCACAAACCCAGAAGAATGATCAGAAAGCCTTTTGCTATTGAGTTTGTCCAATCATTTGTTCTCCACACAGAAATTGAATACCTTCCATTTCATCTTCACTACTTCCTCTATAGCCCACTTCAATGCCTCATGAGTAGCCTCAATTGAACCTTCGAAGAAGTCCCTAGATACAACTCTCTCTTGCAGCTTCTCTGAGCCTCTATAAGCCACCCAACCCAGACCCACCCTCTGAGCCTCTATAAGCCAATCACTAGATATAGCTTTCTTTTGCAGCTTTTCTGGCTAACTTATCAGCCAATTTACCAAACACTTTTATCATATAAGCTAGCTTGCTCTAAGTCATAGCTATAAGCTATAAGCTTGAAATTACATATAAGCTATAAGCTAGTTTTACCGAACATATCCCTAAGGATCTAGGCTGCAGGAGAGACCTAATGACCAGTAGATTGGTGGGGTTCAGGTCGTGGTTACAACCTGGATAAGACTAGTGGCAAGAAGGAGCAGAGATCGGTTTAATGACTTCAAAACCTATGAGTCTTGCAAAGAGGGGAAAAAATCATTCATGAATGAGAAATACATATATATAAGATTCTCAGATTTGGGAGATCTTACTAGTTAGGAAAGTGGATACAGGAGGATCTCTTTCCTAACAAGGACTCTCCTAGCCATGAAGTTACCCTAGGTACATAAAGGTATCCATGTTCTTTATTATACACAACATCATACGTGCACAAGAACTTAAATACATACTCACAATTTTATCACAGACATACACTAATTTGAGAATCAGAGACTTTTTCGCCGGTACTCCTTTCAATGTATTGCAGGTCGTCAGAACTCTAGGCTGATGAAGTTCGTGGTTCGTGGTTCAATGGGTTCAAGGCAATTTCCGTATCACCACTATTTTGATCAACTAGAATTCCAATACAAGTACTCTTTATATACCCTATAATTGGATTGTGGAGCTATATTAAAAAAATTTCTGTCTAGTTTACATGATTTAGAAAGGCGTTTAGTATGCATGATTTTGAGCTAAATAGGTACGTACTTACACATAAATGAGTGTATATGGTGTTGCTGATTGATTATTTAGGTAACTAGCCACTTAATTATACGATCGAGTCACACTTAAGAAATGCTGGAAAGCCCACCATTCTAAGACTCCATATGTCTAAAATCGCCCCCACAAATATATAATTGAGTAGATCAACAAGAAAATAACTATGTGTATTTATTGTTGAAGTAACTGTTCTGAGTATTATAAAGAACAACCATGTCCTCTTATTGTATCAATTTTACAATTCATAGAAGGTAACAAAAGTAAAAATTGTCACGACATTCTACTATATGAGAGATACACGAGGTCAGATATTGTGACTTTGTCATTGAGTTCGCTATTCATTACTCGAGTTTTGTGGAACACATCCCTCAAGAAGGTGTTTCTTTCACATAACCTTCATATCGTTGTTCAACCACATTCATTTTTTTGATTTGAGCCTTGTATTTCTTGATAAACTTTGCATCCTCTATGCACTTCTCTTTAAAAAAGTTGTCCATGGAAAAATCATCCTCAACAGGATCTGAAAACTCACATGAGCTTTCTTTAGAATCACTTTGAGCACATGTGTAGGAACCCATGAATGAATCGTCATCAATGAGGTGGACAGAGGAGGTATAGAATGTGAAATCATATAGAGGACATCTAGCAAAGTTGTTAGAATGCTCAGAACCATCAACTTGTTCAGTGTCATTTTCATCATCATCATCCCACAAGGCTTGATAAGTTTTGTTCTTCTTCTTGAAGAAATGTCCAAATCCTTTGCACTCTCCACAATGATCTTCTGATATTCTGATTTTGAGTTTTTTGACGACTAGGAGTTGGAACGTCATTCCACAGACTATTGATTAGTGTTCTTGCTGAAGTCGTACCATGCATGAAGACAGGTGTCAAACGCCTAAGCTTTTAGTTGGCTAATGACAATCATTGCCTTTTCACTATATTTGTTTATTAATTTCGTATGAGATGTATTCATAAACAACCATTGACTGTTGCTTTGCATTCAAAAGTTGTACCATGCATAAATATGTTACTTTAATGGTTAGACTGTCATGATACAAAATATATGCCTCTCCATCTTAATAATGGAGGGTTTCCGCATTCCTTGGCGTGCCACGTGGCTTAGCCACAACTTCCTATATATTTTGCCTCATTTAAGATAATTTTGGGCCTAATAACAAGATTATTTCGGGTTATGTTATTTGGGCTAAGTTTTTTATATTTATTGGGTTGAGTATATATTTTTTCAACTTATTTTTAAAAGAAGTTGATCCTTCTACTTTTATGCAATGTGGCTCATCACTAACTCTCTCATGTATAGTTTTGGGATATTTTAATTTTTTAATATTTAATATATTTTATTTGTTGCTAGATATTTCTTTTATCGTCTGAAAAAATATCCCACCGACCGTAAAAGTAAATGACTTTGGATATGAGGAACCACTTTTCTCTTTTTACGCCTAAATTCCTATTCATTTGTTGTCTTCTATCCGCTTCCTCTCATCTCATGTCAATTGGTGTATCATATTTTATTTAATTGCAAGTGTGTTATCCATTTTGAAAAGGAAAACGTATTAGTTTTAAAAGGAAATTGTTGTAAGTATTTGTTTCTAAATGATAAAATGTTATTATTTAAAACCCGTTACCCAGGCAAACGTGGCACAACCATTGATTGTTGCTTTGCATTCAATAATTTGGTGGATGCAATAAAAATATGAACCACTGCCCTTGTCCTCATCATACCTATAAAACAAGGCCACCAAAATATCAACATTACAAAACTTCTTCACTTCACACAACACCATAAAATAGAACAAAATAAAATGTCCACCATCTTCCCATTTCTGCACTGGCTTCTCCTCATAGTCCTACTTCCCCTAATCCTCCATCTCCTCTACACAATCATCCGACGCGGCAAGCAACCAAGCGAACCCACCAACTGGCCGGTGGTCGGAATGCTTCCGGCGGTCCTCCAGAACATCCACCGTGCCCACGACTATGCCACCGAGGTCCTTAGCCAGTGTGGGGCCACCTTCGAGTTCAAGGGACCATGGCTCTGCAACATCGACATGGTCTTCACCTGCGACCCGGCCAACATCCACCACATTTTCAGCAGGAATTTCCCCAATTACCCTAAAGGCCCCCGATTCCGAAAAATCTTCGACATCTTGGGCGACGGGATTTTCAATTCCGATTTCGAATTGTGGGAGATCCATCGGAGGACCACTCTCGCCTTTCTCACCCGATCCGATTTTTCCCGGTCGCTTGAAGGGCTTATTTGGGCCAAAGTCCAAAACGGGCTTTTACCCGTTCTCGACGGGTTCTGCGAAAGCGGGTCGGATCTCGACCTGCAGGACATTTTCCACCGTCTCACTTTCGATAACATTTGCAAGCTCGTGCTGGGTCGTGACCCGTGCAGCCTACGGGTCGGGTTGCCCCGAGTTGACTGCGAGAAAGCATTTGACCACGCTGCTGAGCCGCTCCTGCACAGGCATATAATACCAGAGACCATTTGGAATGTCCAAAAATGGCTCAATATTGGAAATGAAAGAGTTCTGACGAATGCCCGCCAGGCGTTCGACGAATTTATCTATCCGCAAGTGAGGTTGGAGAACGAAAACGAGAAGAGCCACGATTTTAATGTGTTGAGAGTTTTTAAAATGTTGTACGAGGAGAAAAAAATCGACTCGTCTCGTGGGTTGAGTGATTTCTTAAGGGACACGGCCTTGAGTTTGATGTTTGCCGGCCGGGACACGACGAGCACTTGTCTGACGTGGCTTTTCTGGCTCTTAGCCACGAACCCTTTAAAGGAAAGGAAGGTTCTAGATGAAATCGAGCTGGAATTGGGTTTGAACCAGACTAACAGTAGTAGCAGCAGTCGTAGCAGTAATAATAATAATAATAATAATAATAATAATAATAATAATAATA